AAATTATAAATAAGAATTAATTAAATTCAAGAAAATAATTCTAAAACTAATAATTATTTTTAATATAAATTTTAAATATAATAAAATATTTATTAAAATATCTAAAAATCATAAAAATTTATAAAAATTAAGAAATATTAGTTATATAATCTTTTATAATATAATTTAGAATATTTTCAAATTTACTTTTTATATTATAGATATTTTGATTTATTAATTATTTATTTTAATAAATAAAATTATATATTATTATATATATATATATTCATTATATATTTTAAAAATCACTTATATAAAATATTAATTTAAAAATTTAAAAATTAATTTTATTAATATAATATAAATATTAATAAATAAAAAATATCTTTTTTCTTTTTTATAATATATAAAAAATAATTAATAAATAAAAAAAAGAGTAAATAATTAATACTTATCTTATTAATATTAAAAGTTTAAATTTTTATTAAATTAATATTTTTTAATTAATAATATATATAGTAATAATCAAAAATAATGACTTAGGAACTAAATTTATTAATAAAATATAGTGAAAATTGAAATTTTCTTTTTATATTAAAATTTATAATTTTATTAAATAATTTTTATTTTTATATTAAAATAAAGTTTATTAATTATAGTTTAATATATAATTTTTCAGATTTTTTAGATTTTTTTTGAAGAGTTATTCAAATTATAAAGTTAATACAAAAATTTTTATTAATTAAAAATAATATTTAATTAATAAAAATTTTTGTATTAACTTTATAATTAGAGTAATTCTTTCAGAAAAAATCTGAAAAATTTGAAAAAAATATATATTAAATTATAATTAATAAACTTTATTTTAATATAAAAATAAAAATTATTTCTTAATAAAATTATAATTTTTAATATAAAAAAAATTATAATTTTCATTATATTATATTAATAAATTTAATTTCTAAGTTATTACTTTTAGTTGTCATTATAATATTATAAAAATATAAAAAAAATTAATAATTTAAATTTTAAAAAATAAATTTATTAATTAAAAACTTTGAATAATTATATAAAAGAATATTTTAATATTTATTTGAAAAAGAATAAATAAATTAAATAAAAACTTAGTATACTTATTAATTTATTTTATTAGAAATACTTAAATAAATAAATTTAAATTTGATTTTAAATTAAAAAATTTTATTAATTAAATTAATATTAAAAAAATATTATTAAAAAATAATAATTTGAAAAAATCAAGTTAATATAAATTTTTAATTTAGAATTAAACTAAATTAAATTAAAATTTTTGGTTTTATTTTTCTTAAAATTAAAATTAAAATAATTTTTAATTTAAAATTAAAATTAATTGAATTTAATTTAACTAAATTTAAGTTTTTATAAAATTAAATTAAACTAAACTATTAAAAATTTTATATTTGAAAATATAAATTAAATAATCATAAGAAAGTTAATTATAAAAAATTTTTAATTATAATTATTTAATAACACAAAAAACTCAAATTAAATTATTATAAAAAAGATAATTATTAAATAATTATTATATTTTTTTATATAATTGTATTAAATTTCTAGAAAAATAATATATTATATTATAAATATTTTTATTATTACAAGATAATTAAAATTATTAATATAATTAATAAATTAAAAATTAAAATTATATAATAATATATTTTATTTTTTAAAATATTCTATTATAAAAAAAGTTATTTTAATAATAATTAAAATAAAATTTATCTTTTAATAATATATTATATATAAAATTAATTATAAATATTTACTGTAGTATAATAAAAATTTAATATAAAAGAGTATATATATTTAAATATTAAATAATTTAAAAATATAATAATAACTAAAGATAATATATTAGAAATCAAAATTAAAATATAAAAAAATAGAATTTTTTATATTAACTTTATATTTTCATTAATATATATTTTTTATTTATATCAAATTAAAGTTTATAATCTAATTTTTTTAAATTTTTGGATTTTTCTAAAGAATTTTTTAATTATAAAGTCATTGCAAAATTTTTTCTAATTAAAAATGAAATATAATTAGAAAAAATTTTGTTTGGACTTTGCAATTAGAATAACTCTTTCAGAAAAAAATTTATAAACTTTATTTTGATATAAAAATAAAATTATTTCTTAATAAAATTATAATCTTTAATATAGAGAGAAAATTTTCAATTTTTACTATATTTATTAATAAAATTAACCTTCTGGTTTCATAATTATGAGTGTCACTGTAATATAAATTAAATTTTATTTTCTATTAAAGATAATTATGTAAGTTTCCATGATAAAAATCAGTTAATCAAAAAATGAACAAAATAAATACATAATATTATAGAATATAGCAAAGGCTTTTTGATAATGTATTTGGCACACTAGTCTTATATTTAAAATAAAATTCCGTTATGGTTTAAAATATTAGAAGGTTAAATTGTTTGCACCATGCAAAATATGGTAACCGGATAGATTTGCCAGGAATTCAATTTTGATTTTTACATATTTAAAGTTAGGGTTAAAATTAAGATTAAAGATAAGGATAAAATCATATGTATAATTGTTTCATCGACTTTTTAGTGGTCCAAGTTAAAATTAGCACAATATTTTTGTGCTTTTACTTTTATTAGTTCCAGACGCTGAGTTGTAAGGTTGGAAATCTTTGAACTATTGAATATTTCGTGATTTTGCCTTTCTGGATTTGAATATCGGGATTACGGAATTTTATGATAGACTCATAAACTCAATTACATATACAATAAATTAAAATAATTCTTAATCTCCAGTTGATCTGAATATTTTATATTAATAAGGCTGTTCTATTTAGGTCACAATTAATTTTAATGGATTATTAAGCATTTGGCACCTAACGTTAATGTTTGTTGGTACGTGTAAATATGTTGTGAACAATATTTTTAATATTGTTTTTAAATGAAGACATAATAATTCCTGAAAAAACAATTTTCATGTAGCTACATATTCGTTACTTTGATATCTTGACCTTCGAAAGATGATGTTGGATCACTTTTTTTATATCGGTATTCTTTTGCATTGAAATTGAATCAAGTATTATATCATGGTTCCGGCATCCAATAATAGTTCTAACATCCCGTCTATATATGAATCATATAATCCAGACAAATTGAGTTTGGAGAGTTAACTGTCTTGAATTTTGAAAATAAAGTGTTCAAATAATTTTGACCCTTTATAGAGGACTCCGGTTACATGCACTATAAACATTTTTTTGGACAAATTTTTGTATCTTTGATTCAAAATTTAGCAAATTATCAACGGAAAAGAAAATTTGATAAAATTTTGTGATTTAACTGACTGGCTCTGGCCCTAAATATTAATTAACTTCCAACCATGAGTGAATAATGTTGGAATGATGATGTTTTTAATATCCCAAATGACATTCACTATGAACGAGAAAATGCAATTTTAGCTGAAACTAAGGAAATTTAACATAATGTCTTAAGTCAAACTTTAAAAGTATGTGCAAACAAATTATAGCAGGTAGTTTAACTATAATTTTTCGACATAAAAGTTTTATCGGATCCAGTTACGGATTTACTATCTATCGTTATATGAATTTTTGAGATTATAAATATTTGTAGAATATAGAAGAGTAGAATTAATATTTTTTCTTTTTTGGATACAGTAAGAACTTGATGCTTACGTGATGGCTCAATTTCGAATAGATCTGTTTGTTATTTTAATGAGCACACTCTTATTTATATTCTTTTGTATGAATAATGCATTTTTTAATAATTTCGTTATTTGTATACTATTTCTTCCTAAAAGCTCAATATAGTAAAGTAATGTAATGTAATGTAATGCGATGGACAATAAATGTGAAATTGGATATCTGGAATTAACGTTAAGACATTGCATCATTTAGTTATCTCGAATTAAACGATTGCGAAAATTAAAAAAAACCTTATTACATGTAATATCTGCTATCCAGGATTCTTCGACATTTAAAATCTGGAAGTTAAGGATTTTTGGTTTTACAGTTCTAATTTCCAACCATTAGCATATAAATTCAGGTCTGAAAAATATATACCGATGATTTTACTAGACAAAAGTTTCGAAATTTTCTTATAGATATCCTTTTTTTCAATAAATCGGGAGACAATGAAAGACTTCATTATTAGAATCCATAATAGGATCATTGTGCAGTCTCCCAAAATATCCAATATAAACAAACATCTTTGCGTCAATCAATAGCTGAAGTCAACAAAGTATAGCGATTCATTCCAACAATAACTCGTTCAAATCATTAGATACGTTGATTTTTTTTCAAACTTAAAACCATACAAAAGGATTTATTACATACGGTGCATGAATTTTCCGCTCAGGAAATCACCCCAATAAATAATATTCCCATTCAACGATCAATTCTGATGAATATGTATACACTATTCTTTAATTGACAAAGGGAAAGAACAACACTTTGTTATCGTTAAGAGCAACATATGGAAAAAGCATAAACTGTACATACATTTCATTGTTTGGATATGCATTCGGGTAAAACTGCACTACAATAAAATGCATGTACGTAACCATTGATGCTTCCAATGACGTAATTCACAATGTATATTAACTTTAAATTTACTACGCTATGTTACTCTAAATTCTCAAAAAGGAAAAGCGTTCGGTTATTGCATAAGACAAGAAAACTTGCGTATTGTATTCTTATTTAGGGCTATTTAGCATCGTTAGAGATCAATTCTAGAAAAAACTCATTGTTAAGATTCATAATGTGTGTTATTATTAAACATGGTGTGTGGATTTATTTATTTATGGTTATCAATCATTTGCCAAGTGCATCAATAACATAAAAGAATTTATTTTTGATTGTTTTGATTTTTTTTGTTGACTATTTAAAAGGTTGTATTTTCTTGTCTCGAATTTTCCTTGAACTAACGATAAATAATAACTATAATAATTAGTAAATATTTCTACCGTAACTAGCGAGTAATGAAATCTCTTCCGGTTGACCTCCTTCCACATATTCTTGAACCGTTGCAAAATGATCGGAAATCACTAAAAAATTGCTTAATTGTTAGCCGTTTTTGGTGTCGTACTACTTCACGAATTTTATGGAGGAATCCATTTGCTATGCTTCCTAAAATTGACCCCAGTAATAATAATTCACAACAAAGACTTAAAACGATAAATCGTCGAAAAGAAAGTCTAATTTTGGCATATACAATGTGTTTATTACCCGAGGAAAAATCAGCATTATTCAAAATTCTATTTCCTCTTAAGGATCATGTAATCCTGCGTCAACTGATTTATATCAGCAGATATTCGTCACATCCGACATTTCAATACGAGAGATACTTGGAAACTTTAAATGACACTTCATTATTTAATGCCATCAAATCTACCTTTGAGCCTTTAAATAAGAGGGGAAAATCGACAACATGTGAAGAAATCCAAACATTTCAAATATTTATGAAAATGTTTATTACTCGGGCAACGAATTTCCGACAGATTGGTCTAGAAACAATTTTCACAAAAAACCCCTTATTCATAAGTATGAGTGATGACATAATACAAACGATATCACGACGTCAGAAGAAAATTCACTCGATCTCTTTGCTATTTAAACAACAACAATTTCAAAATCGCTATATACTTAGCCTACCTGATAACAACAGCCGCGTTAGTACGATGAATTATGAAAAAAAAGGGACAATCATAAATTTGGACATTATAATCACATTAATTAAATCACAGAGGAATTTAGAAAATTTTTGGATAGAGTCCGCACGTGATGAAGATTTAACACAAATTTTGGTCGCATTACGACAACATCATTCGAGTACTTTACAGACATTATTATTTTCGAAATGCTCGTTTTCGCGACTAGTTCCGGCTGATTACTTTGCAGCTTTTGTGAATTTGCGAGAATTGGTGTTTTCAGAATCGGATGGTGTGAGAGGTAGTTGGTTTGTGTGTTGTAATGCTAGATGCCAGAAAATTAGTCTTTGAAAAAATTAATGTTGAATTTGTAAATATAATAATTATCATAGATCTTGTGCGAAAAAGTGTAAATATTTCAATAAACAGTTATCAATCCCAAAAATAAATAACGATAATCTAATAAAAATTAAATAATGTTGGTTATTCACCTCCTAATAAAATTTGTAATCGTGATTTTTTTTGTTGGTGGTATACCAAAATTATTTAACCATCTTCATATGTGTACGCATCTTTATTTTTATTTCTTGTTTCGTACGCATCAAGGCAAGAAACATTATACTGGCTGACAAAGGAATCAACTGAGATTACCAATCGCAATGGTGAGTTTTAGAATGTCGATCACTGCTAAAAAAAGTTTGTACATGCATAAAAAGTTTTCCCATAACGATCAAGAGTTCGTTATATTGGTGATAATTAAACGATTAACGTATTTTTTAAAAATTATAGATGAAAAATAAATTCGCCAAAAGCTAATGCAAATTAATCTAACATCGGCTCTCCTTAATCGAATTCACCAACTTACCACAGAATGTAAATTTTGCAACATGGGTAATCGCAACAAAAGCCTGTTTGACGGTTCAATTTCGAACACATCTAGCTAGGGATCCGAACGGTTCGGTAATTACCGTTACCGATCGGTCGGTAAACCAAATTTTCGGTAATTATTCGAACCGTGTTTTTCTATACTTTTTTGATTGAAATCCTCTCTTGTCACATACTCGAGTCTCAGTGTTTTGTTAGATGATAAGCAAAAATCTTCCAAGAATTACCATTAAGTTTGCAGAAATTATATTGGGTCCATACATTCGAAATCATGGGACTATTAGTTATTATCAAATTCCTCATCTGGAGTCCAGACAGTGAACTTCAAAATGAAAAAATAACATTAATATTGCGAAAATTACAAATAACTATTTTTACCAGCACCAAGCCAATGGCAGAGCTGACAAACGTCATCATTTCTAACTAAAAACAGACAGAATATATTTGAAACCTGGATACCACGTTTCATCCAAACATACACAATTAAATCTCATGTAACCAGACTTCATAGCAAATCTGTCTTAACAAAATCCAAGATTCCTAAAGACTACTATTGCTATACTATCATGCCAAAACAACAAACTTTGTTTTCCTGTTCCATGTAACACGTAGAAACATATGATTTAGGGTAGAGTTTATGCAGATTTTTTAAGATCATGATTGGCAAATAATTTAATCGACATACCGATACAGTTTCTGGAACAAATAAATTTTTATCGGCTAGTAATTTTTACCACAAATATCAGTTTTCATATGAATTCTTGATAGGGTGCCGCCCAAAATCCTGACGCCTAAACTCCCGAATGCCTAAAATCCCGAAATGCTAAAATCCCGAATGCCCAAAATCAAAATGCCAACATATACTTGTTCAATACAATACCTTAAAATATCACATTCTTAACATACGATATTCCATACGAAGGTTATTATTTAATTTTTCATTGATTATTTAATCTAGTATTTTGTTTCTTTGGTGCAAAATAGATTAGTACACCACATTTACTTGCAAGAAAAGAAAAATAACGTTTAATT